AAGGATCCTCGGTATCTCAGACCTCCTCCACCCCTACCAACTCTGGTAACTTCTCTGATTTCACCATTCCACCGCCTCTAAAATTCTTGATCTCAAACCTTAAAAATCTGGTTCCAAATCCACTCTCCTCCGACAACTATCAAATCTGACGGATTCAACTTTTGCAACATTTCACAGCAAATGGTTTCTCCGGCTTTCTCACCGGCGAAGTTTCTTGCCCGCAAGACTCCTCCAGCACTGAATATAGCAAATGGCGCCTAATCGATCGAAATCTTATTTCCGCTCTGTTCTCAACCATCTCCCCTGCCATCTTACCCTACGTTCTATCCTCCACCACTTCCCATCATGTCTGGACAACCCTTGAACGCCGAATGCAACCCATAAATCGTTCAAGAGTTATCCAACTCAAGAACGAACTTCACAACGTTCAAATGCGAAGCACCTCCATGCAATAGTATCTTCTACAAATTAAAAACCTCGTCGACAATATCGCTGCATCGGGATCGCAACTTGATACAGAGGACATTGTTCTCTATATCCTGAACGGTCTACCCTCATCCTACAATTCGTTCAAAACCGCTATCCGGACATCTCTCCATCCTATTGATTGGGACACTCTCTATTCTCTCCTAATAAGTGAAGAGATCAACCTGACTCAAGAAAACCAAAAAGACTCCTCTGCTCCAATGGACAATCAAGTTCTTTATGCAAACAGTTCAGCTCCTGGCCGTGGAAGAAGCCAGAACCGACCGGTCAAGAATCGGAACTCAACATACAGAAACAATTCCTCATACTCAGCTCGTCCGCCTTCCACTGCCAATCCTTCAGATCGTCCCACATGCCAGATCTGCGGAAAAACAGGATATGTTGCGCTAAATTGTTGGCACCGATGCAACTTCAAATACGCACCAACCACCTCAGCCTCTCCGCGCACTCTTCTCTCACAGCAATCAAGAACTCCGACTACTGACTGGGTGCTTGACTCCGGCGCATCCACACATCTCACTCCGGACCTCTCCAACCTTCAACTCAGCTCACCCTATCAAGGGTCAGACAGTTTCTGTGGCTAACGGTTCCTCAATTCCGATCCAAAACTCCGGTCAAGGGATCCTCCCGCTACCCGACTCGGCTCGTAAGATCTTTCTTCGCAATTTATTACATGTCCCATCCTTAACGCACAACCTTATTTCAATTTCAAAACTAACAGCTGATAATCAGGTTTCGATATGCTTTAATGCTAACGGGTTTGTTATTAAGGATGGGCAGGACAATCGTCCTCTTCTTCATGGTCAAATGCGTAACGGATTATATCATCTTCAACTCACACCTTTGACCCGCCCGACGTCGTTTCTTGCAGCTCAATCCTCTGCCCATCTCTGGCACTCAAGGCTCGGTCACCCACATCTTGGAGTCCTGAACACGTTGTGTCCTATTCTTCAAAATCTTTCAACTATACCCGAACAATTTTTCTGCACTTCTTGTAATATGGCAAAGAGCCATAAAATTCCATTTAATAAAAGTGTTTCTTCTTCTCCGCATGTTTTTTATCTTATACACTCGGATGTTTGGGGTCCGGCTCCTCAACCTTCGTTAAACGGTTTTAACTATTACGCTATTTTTATCGATGATTATTCCAAATTTTCTTGGCTTTATTTAATGCACTCAAAGCATGAAACGTTTTCCAAATTTAGTCATTTTTGCTCTCTTATAAAAACGCAATTTAACTCTACGCCAAAAATTTTTAGATCCGACGGAGGCGGAGAATTCACAAGCAAACAATTTCAATCCTACTTGCTGACTCACGGCATTTCGCACCAAATCAATTGCCCGCACACCCCCGAACAAAATGGCACCGCAGAGCGCAAAGACCGACATCTTCTTGACACTACTCGGGCTCTCCTGCACGAATCAAAACTTCCCGTCAATTTTTGGGCCGAAGCCATTAGCACTGCAAACTACCTAATCAACCTCCTTCCGTCCAAAGCTGTCAAAGACCAAGTTCCTCATCATCTCCTATACGGCACCTCCCCCTCCTACAATCATCTTCGCTCGTTTGGTTGTCTATGCTTTCCGTGGTTGAAACCATATGCCAAAGATAAACTTTCCCCCCGCTCTCAGCCCTGCATCTTTCTTAGTTACTCTTCCTACCACAAGGGCTATAGGTGCTTCAACCCCTCCACTAACAAGATTCAGATCTCTAGACACGTTATTTTCAATGAACACATATTCCCGTATCAGACTCCAACCATCACAACCCCGGCTGCTTCCACCGAAACCAACACAAATTCACCTCACTTTCTGCTTACTCCCACCTCCATCATTCCTACCACAGCACCCTCAATTCCTCTTTCCTCCATCACGCCTCAAATTTCCACAGCACCTCCCACTCCCCCCTGCCAAGACGCTTCGATCTCACACTCTAGCACCACTCCGTCCACTACTTCCAGTCCGCTCATCACCTCTCAACCGGCTCATCACATGCAAACTCGTGCCAAATCTGGCATCTACAAACCCAGACAAATTCTAGATCTCTCAATCACTATCTCTTCCTCATCCACTCCAACCACTTACGCTCAAGCCTAAAAAATTCCTCACTGGCGGGCAGCCATGTCAGTTGAATTTCTTGCGCTTCAACGGCAAGGTACGTGGTCGCTTGTTCCTCCACCACCTAACGCTCCAATATTCGGGTGCAAATGGACGTTCAAAACCAAGCTTCTTCCAAACGGGAAACTCGACAAACATAAAGCTCGACTGGTCGCTCAAGGATTCAATCAAATTCTCGGGGTCAATTACACATAAACGTTGAGCCCCGTCGCAAAAATGCCCACCGTAAGGATCCTTCTCACTCTCGCGTTACATCACCAATGGTCCATCCTACAACTCGACATAGCAAATGCCTTTCTCCACGGCGATCTTCACGACAATGTTCTCATGCGACAGCCTACCGGATTCATCTACAATCAATTTCTGCATCACGTCTGCAAACTTCACAAATCTTTATACGGGCTAAAGCAAGCACCGCGGCAGTGGTTCCATAAGCTAACCACTCTTCTCCAACAATTCGGCTTCAGGTTTAGTCGTTCAAATCCTTCGCTTTTAATCTTCAATAAAAACAATATACAAATTTATTTCCTCATCTATGTCGTGACATCTTGCTTACAGGCAACGACAAACAAACCATACAAAAACTTCTCCAACACCTCCAAGAACATTTTGCTCTCAAGCAACTGGGAAACGTCTCACTGTATCTCGGAATTCAAGTCCTCAAGACCTCCTCTGGCTATTTTTTTACATCAGACTCATTATGCCCAAAAACTCTTGCAGGATTCGGGATTTGCAAATTGCCGCCCAGCACCAACCCCAATCACTCCAAAAAGCTCCTCCACACCTGAAGATGACAAGTTGTTCCCTGACATACACCTCTACCGCAAACTCGTCGGGTCTCTCCAATACTTGTCCATCACTCGTCCGGACATAGCCTTCGCAACCAACCGGGTATGCCAATATATGCATGCTCCCACCGAAGGCAACTTCAAGAGCCTCAAACGATTGCTCCGATATATAAAAGGCTCTCTACACTATGGTCTTCCAATCTCTCTTGACAATCTCCAACTCCGGACGTATGCCGACGCCGATTGGGCCTCCGACAATCTAGATCGGAAGTCCACCTCAGGATTTTGCACATTTCTTGGCCACAATCTCATCTCCTGGTCTGTCAAGAAACAAGCTACCGTGGCCAAATCCTCCACCGAAGCAGAATACCGATCTCTGTCTGCCGCAACATCCGACGTCATATGGCTTCGTCGCTTGGTTGAAGAACTCCAGATTCCGCAAGCATCTCCGACTACGATCTATTGCGACAACACCTCCGCTATCGCCCTCGCAAACAATCCAGTCTTCCATGCCAGAACAAAGCACGTTGAAATAGACTACCACTTTATTCGTCAACATTTGGATTCCAAAGCTATTCACATTGAGCATATTAGCTCCACCGATCAAATAGCTGACATACTTACCAAGCCCCTCGCCACCTCTAGATTCAAAGAGTTGCAAAACAAATTGACCATTCAAAACTTGAATGATCAATTTGAGGGGGCCTATCAAGAAGACTGACACGTCAGCTCCGTACAGTTCTTTTGTGATATTGGAATAGCATTGTCTATTTATAGTTCTGCTTGTACCATATCTCATATTCATTCAATACACAATATTTCTTGTTTCCTGTATCTCGCTTTCTCTCCTTTGTCTTCTTCACAACATACACACTACTCTCTTCATCATAGTTTTTAGATTTTGGTGTTTCTAATCATATGATTGGTAATTCATATATATTTGAAAATATTCGAACATATCAAAGATTATCATTTGTTTGTATTGCTAATAGTGTTGATTATCTATCAAAGATGTTGGAGAATTAATCATACAATGAAAGATGTCCTCATATCTCCTAGGCTCTCAAGTAATCTCCTCTTAGTAGAAAAATTACTTGATAATAATTGTGCTGTTTGATTTTCTTACAATGGTTGCACCGTGTAAGATTAGAATAGGGGAAAAATACTCCTGAAGGAGCCTAAATCTTGACAACTATTTTCCTTGCATCGTTCTATTTCTGAGATGGTCTCATTATCCTCTACTACATTAAATCATAATAATAGTCCTTGGCACAAAAGATCAGGTCATCCAAATTCTTTGAAAATTGTCAACTCTACTTGCTCAGAGATAATTGGATTTCTAATTTGCGTACAGTTTGAGTTCGTTTTGGGCATTCATTGTGTTGCAGATTTTATCAACTCTACCACTGCATGTAGAGTATACGGTTTGCCTATAAAAATAATATGATTTACATATATTAATTGATGATGGATTATTAATTCCATTCTAACTGTGAATCTATTCGGAAGTGTATCAATATTCACAAGAATATTAAAAAAAAAATCCAATCAACCAAAAGCAAACACGACAAAGCTAAGGTTTTGGCACGAGGACGGAATTGGCATTACCTGCCACACGCGATGGAGCTGGAACTGCGGGGAGAAGAGGAGCTTGAGGAGGCGGATGTTGAACAGATACCCATCGATGGTGTCGTGCTTCGTGATGGGATCGCGAAATCGAACTCGGGAATCGTACATCGAGCGGTCGATTCCCTGCTCATCGAAAAGATGGGGTAGGTCGGCGTAGAGGAAATCGATTAGCTCTTTCAAGTTGGAGGCCGCACCGCCTTTGGGCACGCTTTGTTCCACAAAGCTTCTCTGCATAACGCACTTCAATGGGCTAACCCGTTTCGAGATTGATAGTGATGACTGCTTGGGGAATGCCGCCGGCCGACGCAGGGCTGTGGTGATGGCTGGAATTTGCCGGACATGTTGGCCGGAGAAGGTTGTCGCCATAGTATTAGCTTCTACACTTCATCAATTTTGTTAATCCTTTTATATGTCAACTATCCGGAGCTTATGGCCTTATCCTATCGAACCGAGCTTGCGGCTGGGAAAGGGACAAACAGAACCTATGCCATGCGTATTTTTATTTTTGAACGGTCATAAAAAATATGATAGTTATTTACCTATTTAATATTCAAAATATTAATATTATATATCTATCAGATAAAGCATTACTTAACAATAATAATTAATTTATCATGATCAGAAATCAAGCTTTAGAATTAAAAAGGATTATATTTATCTAATCATCTACTAATTGACTTCATGTATATACAAAATGTAATATACAAAGACAGCTGAAATCTTTAACTATTAAGCTCGTTACTAGTATTTTTTAGTACCGTAAACACATGAAGTATCACATGCACTAGAGAGAGATATAGGATTTAATGATCAAGTTTTGTAAGAAGATTTAACACAGACATATTAGAGAAAGTGGTGCAATATTCATAAAAGACATAAGAGTTTTTAGGTGAAAATTTCTAAAAAAGAAGAAAAACGATGGGGCCTTGCCCAGTTGTAAAAGTCACTAGTATTTGTGGTTCGTTATAAATGATGTCCTTCCTGGGGGAAGGCGTTTGGCTCAGCGTAACAAATATACATCATATAAAGTACAATACATAGTTGGAGTTTGAATAATCCGGTGATGTGAGAGTTTTTCTCAGGATAGTGTTGTCCTGCTCATTTGGTCGGTAGGATCGTATTTGGGCAACGATAGTCGGAGGGACCGTATTTGAGGTCAGATGAATCATAGTTGGGCGACGGTCGGAGGGATTGTATTTGGAGGTAAGAGTGATTGTCGTTGGCGGGCGACAGTGTTCAGAGTGGATCGTAGTTGGCATGTAACGGTGGTAGGAGGGACTATAGTCGATAAGCGACGAATGTCGGATGGACCATGGTCAGCGAGCAAAGGAGGTCAAAAGGGACTAGTCAGCGGGCAGAGCTCGAAGGATTGTGGTCGGCGGGCTTTGGAGGATGAAGGGATCGTAGTCGGTGGGCGATGGTGGTCGGAGTGGACTGTAGTCGACGGGGATTGAAGATATTGTAGTAGGCGGGCAACAATGGTTGGAGAGACATAGTCGGCAGATGATAGAGGTCAAAGAAATCGTAATTGGCAGAGGTCAGAGTGAATCGTAATAGACAAGCGATGGTGGTCCAACATTGGTCAGCGGCCGGGCGATGGTTCGATGATGGTTGGGCAGAGGTCAACGTTCGAGCGATGGCCAGACGATGGTTCAATGGAGTTCGTTGGCAGTGGTGCTTGGGCAAAGCTCTAGATTCTTGAAGCCTAAGAGCTCTGTCTAATTTCTAGCAAAGGTCCAAGCCCTCTCCTTCATGTGGGAAGAGATGATCTATTTATATATTTTTTAAGAGCGGCATGAACCGTAAATATGAAAAAGATCTGTGACAAATTCGGAGTGCTCCATCGGATGACCCATATTGATCCCCCCGATCATTGTCAAGCATCTATGTGTCCAATGATGTCAGAATTAAGCGATCTTGGGCTTGTTCGATTTGTCTCATCGAATTGCTCGATTCGAATATAAGCGTGTTATATTTAAATATCATTTGGTCATCCAATTTATGTTCTTAAGCTTCCAAATATGCTTCGGGCCCTCGATTTGGACCCATTTGGTTTCGGATTGGATCGATTTTGATGTCGATGCGTTCGTTTCTTCGAGACATTCAATTTGACAATAAGTTTGCTAAAATCAAAGTTCGGATAGTCCCAGATTTAATTTTGGAAATTTTAAATTCATATTTGCATCTAGATTCGTGCCATAAAGATAATTTTTTAATGGCATATCAATAATAATTTTCAAATAAGTGGAAATATATTACTAAGACGTCTTGGTCGGATTTTCTTCATTAATAGAAGGTAAAGAGAGAAGCATGAGCAGTTGATGCTTATCGATAGAGAAAGTGAAGTTGAGGAAGTTTTGAGTAGTTTCTGTCGTAATTACCTTCCTCTTGGCTAGGGTATAATAGTAATAGAGAGTTTTTCTCATCTCATTAGATCTATCATTGAGCATTTTAAGTGATTTTTTTCTCAATAAAGATGTAACTTAGGCTTCCTTTGGGATAATTTTTTTATTACTTCTTAAAATAGAGTTTTAATACAAAAGTTAAATTTTTTTTATCAAAACTCTATTTTAAGAAGCAATAAAAAAGCCTTCCCAAATGAAGCCTTAGTTTTATCTCTCCTAAATAATATGAAATAGAATCCTCAATGTACCTTATTATTTGATTCTTAGATTTCGTTTGGAATAGTTTTCTTACAGATTTCTAAAGCGGCTTTTCAATACAAAAATTTTAATACTATGAAGCTTCGAAAGCAATAAAAAATCCGTCCCAAACGAAACCTTAGTTGAATCATTTATTGTGCACATTTGCAGGTACACATGCTTCTCTCTTTTGCTGTGGCTATTTTTATCCTCATAATTTCTGTTCCTTGTTACTTTTATCCTAATAGTACATATTTAAATTGAATTCGGACGGAAAAGTGAATTTGGAGGCTTTATGAAAGGCGTCTGAATGTTCAATAACTTTTACTTGCTACTGAACATGCATGGCTTCTCAAAATAAAGCTTGTCTAGTGCCTATGTCAACCCTTCTTCCTGATCTTCTGGCCTATATCAGCTTTAACAAGAGACTGGTCTCTATTTGTCACTAGATTTCAACCAAATAGTTGATTATTATATCAGCTTTAACAAGAGACCGAACTCTGTTTGTCAGTAGATTTCAACCAAACGGTTGATTATTATAATCTGATCGTCCTCAAGGAAGATTCAGTTAACTATAATCTGCTCAAATATTAGTGGAATCATTTTAACTGGGCGCGCGTAACCTCATGGTTTTTCCCCTTTCTAGGATTTTCCACGTAAAAAATCTTGTGTTATCTATTTGTGTATTGGATATCAGTACAACGCTATGATATAAAATTTTAACTCTACCACCACGTATATTCTAGCCCATATAGAAAATGTCTATGACTTCATACTAATTATGAGGAGAAATTCATAAGATATGCTGGTGCAGATTTCAGTCATTTTATGTTAACATGCAAGTGATTTTTCATTATAATCTAATAGCAAAACACTTTTAAGTTTGGGGGCAAATATATCACTACAAGGACAATAACCGATCGATCCTTCACAAAATAAATCCAGCTGTAGTCGCATTTCAATCAGCAAATAATTACTAAAGAAGGAAACAACACAACCACAAATTTAATTTGATCAGCCATAGCACTCATATGATTCTTGAAATAGATAATTCATAATTGTTCGATTTCATAAGATATATAGTTCATTTTTTTCCTTCAAGATATGTAGATGATATTCACTTACATTAAGGTTATATTTGGGATTGCTTTCTTAATGCTTCTTAAAGCAGCTTTTTAGTACATAAATTAAATTTTTTATACTAAAAAGCAGTTGTAAGAAGCCGTAAGAAAGCCGTCCCAAACGAAACCTAAAACATCATAGCTTCATCCACTGAAAAAGCCACCATTTTCAAGCTTGGAATCAACAACTTGTTGGACATATTGAGCTTCTGCAATTTTTTCACCATTGTTGAAGCTAACGAGCTTGCCATTTTTAAGGAATTGTGAGTACCAATAGGCAGACAGCTTTGGAACCCTCTCTCTGTCCTTGTCAAAATCAACATGATAAAGCCCTATTCGGAGTTGATATCCAGCCATGAGCTCAAACAGATCAACAAAGGACCATACAAAATATCCCCTCAAATCTGATCCATTCCTGCAAGCAATCATAAATTGTTAAAATCATGAATAAAAAACATATTGGAAAGACATGGTGGTCTATATTATTTCATTTTACCTCAGAGCCTCAAGGCTGCATCCGATGAAACCACTTAGATAGGATACTCTTTCCATGTCCTTAAGCTTGTCTTCTCCTTCAACACCATAGCCTACATATATGCAAATTTCAGCTAAAAACTTCTTCTTTTTTTTGGTCTTTTAACTATATATATAAACATACCATTCTCCTGGATATAAAGAGGAGGATTTCCATATTTTTCCTTGAAATATTTTAATAGCTCAGTCAATCCTCGAGGATTAACAGGAAGAGGATCAGGTGGAGTAATCTGCTTGTATACAGTTATTTTAGTTTATTCAACCATTACTGATAAAAAGAAGATTTTTAAGAGGTTGATAGTCTTTCATGCCTGACTGGTTGGTGGCTTATTCTTGTAAGCTGCAATACATTTTCACCAAATTTATAAGAAATCAAAAGATTTCATGAATCTATATGTTATGTAGATATTAATAAATAGAAACAACCTGTGAAGTTTGCAAACATATCTGCACTGAAGTCACGAAGATTGGTGTTGAGAGCATTGAAGTTATTAGTCACAAATAGTGAGAAATAGTAATTAATACCAAGGAAATCAAAGGCACCCTTCACTTGCTGGGATTCTGATTTGCTGAAAGATGGGAGCCTTGAGCCTGCAAATACTTTCATGATTTCTGGATAATCTCCAAACATGATGGGGTTCAAGAACCTGTTAAAATTATATAATTTTGTTACAAATAAATTTAAACAATACATGTAATTATATAGGGAATATCTATAATTTCATACTCAACCTGTCTAATATCTATTCAATTTATAGTTATTATGAAGGACTTAATGCACTTGTGACCTTATTGCAATTTATCCTCATCTTGAGAATTATTGACTTCACCTAAATATTTCACATGAAACTCCCTTAATAGTTTTCTTTTCAAGATTTTTTTTTTTCTTTTAAATATTGGACATATAATTAACATGTCAATGAAAAATAATAAAAAATTCAATATTTTCATGTTCTTTTAACATAGAAATAATGATCATTGCTTCTCTAGTAGGATATTAATTAATTTTAGTATACTATTGATTATTGCTTCTCTAGACATGATATGAAGGTGGTGTCATAAATGTTAGAGGACTTTCATGATATCTATTGTAGTGGTTTCATTGAGGCTATCACATAATATGCGAATAACCCCTAGAATTTGTATGCTCGTTGGCTACCACTTTGCTTGATTGATTAATTGCTTTTTTACTCCAAACAATAGTTTTAGAAGTAATCCTCTATTTGCATAATATGAAATCCTAAAGTTTTGGCGGCCATTGAAGTTATTAAATTTTATTTTCCCATCCCCTTTGCACATATGTAAGAGCTTTCTAGACTAAAACTTCGATAAAAATTATTATGATAGTAAAAACTTAATGGAAAACATAAGTAAATATACTATAATAAACAAAATAGAGATCATAAATACAAAGTATTAAAATTTCATATGAGTTAGTGAGATTCATTTTTGCCCAAATTCACATAGAGATTGAATACTTTATTAATATTTAATATAGTACATGAAGAGATTATATTTCATACAAAGTAGAAGGCAAGGAGAGGTTTATTATTTTGTATATGCCAATGATTTAGGGAGAATGTGAACATGATTTTTGAATGGGGAAAGAAGATATTGTTCATGTTTTTGTTACTCTCTTCATCTCTTTGTTGAAAGAGTTCAAATAAGAGTCTCTTCATTCTATGTCAAAGAGCTACTCCTTTTGCTACAAATAAAAAAAGAAGCACCTCTTTTCACTTGAAGAAGCCAAAGTACATCCCTTTCAAGGACCTAAAACCACTTGCTTTCTTCCTTGAATTCCAACCTCTCTCCTCTATCAACTCTCTTCTTTTATTCGCGTCTTATTATACGACATTAAAACTATCATTCTATAACTCTATGTATAATTGTAAGAAGTCATGTGTGTCTGAAGACTTAATTAATTACAAAATTTTATAAGACCTCCTATAACTAACAAAATGATCTCATACCATGCAAAAGAAGATATAAATATTTTTAAAAATCCCAATCTAATATTTACAATAAATAAGAGAAGTAAATCTTATAAAGCTATGATGGAAGAACTTTTTATATAAAATTTGAACAATAGAATATTTGTCTAATCATTTCATAATTAAAAAATAACACACTATCATGATCTCATGCGTGAATATGTGCATTCACATACAACAACATCAAGCCTTTGTCCCACTACATGGGGTCGGTTAAATGAATCTTTTTTTTCTCCATTGTGTCCTGTTAAAGGTCAAACTCTTGTTTAAATCTAATAAAGAAAGATCATGTCTAATATTTTCTAACCAACTCTTTTTATTAGGTTTACCTTTACCTTTCTTAACATAAGTCAAATCTAATACCTCTACTTTCCTAACCGGGTCATCGGAAGGCCGCCGTTTTATGTGACCAAACCATCTAATTAGACGACTCTCTCTAATCTTATCTTTCACTGGAGCTACTCCAACCTTTTCACGTATATGCTCATTTTGTATCCTATTGTATGTGCATGCACATGCAATATGATTACTTTTATAGAAACGATTGCAAATTAATAATGATAATAATTAGCTTACCATCCTATTAAAAACTCTATAGCTCTTTTGGCTGCCACTTCATCTGATGCTAACTCATGCAAAGGATAGCACCATAGAGTCCAAAGATTGATGCCAATCTTTCCCTTTTGTTTGGCCTTCAAAAGAGTATCAAATAGTTAGAGATAATTAAATTATATTAACATCATAAAAAGCATATAATAACAAGAATCAGAATAACTAAAATTACCTGATATCTTCTCCTATAAAGCTCCACAACCGCAGAATGTGACAATATGATATTATGGGCAACAATATATGGCTCAGTAGTAGAATTTCCTCCAACACAATCAACTCCAAATGGATATGAACATCTCTTTGGAGGCATAACTCCATAATCATAAGCATACAAAGCTATCACATTGGCCTCATTAAAGGTGGTCCAATAAGACACCCTATCGCCAAATTCTCTAAAGCAAACATCAGCAAATTCTTTGAAATCATCACTGCAAAGCACCAACCATCATTTAATATAATAGATAGATAAATTGGTGGCTCTAGCTCATCATTATTTTCATTTAATGAATACATAAAATAAAATTTTACATGATTTTTGGGGATAGCCATCCTCCATACTCATCTTGAAGAACTTGTGGCAAATCATAATGATGAAGAGTCACATGTGGTTGAATTCCTTTTCATTGGAAAATATAGGAGATGGTTAGCTACATAACAAACAATCTCTTAAATAAGCTAATTTTAAATTTGAAAATTCTCATAGACTTTTCCTATTTAATTCAAAGTAGTTGGCCGGAAGGCTTTCTTTTTGCTTCTTAAAGCAGCTTCCTAGTATAAAAATTAAAATTTTTGTACTAGAAAGCTGTTCTAAGAAATAATAAGAAAAGTAGAAAACCGTCCCAAACGAAATCATATTCTCATATAGTTTTTAATACAATGGCATAACATACTCAATATTATTATGAAGAAATATAAACTTACCATTCTTTATCAACTCATCAATGACATTATTGTAGTACTCAATTCCTTGGGAATTCACTTCTCCTCTCCCTTCTGAATAATATGTTCCATATCACATTAGCTTTCTTATTTTCCAAACATTATATCTGAATACAAATATTTAATTACTTTGAAATAAATTACAAAGACATTAATGTTTTTTCAATTTTTTAAGAAATAGATACAAAAAAAAAAACATACTTGGGATTAACCTAGACCAGGAGATGGAGAATCTATAGGCTTGAAGTCCTGTATCACTCATGAGTTTAATATCCTCCTAATTAACAATAGAGAAATATATTTCAAGTTAGCATTAAATTATATCACAAAATCCTCCTCTTATAATAAGTTGCTAAAGTTTCATGAATTATAATAAGCAAAACTTCCATTTTGTTAATTTAAATTAGAAAAATGTTTTGAAAACAAAAAAATTGCAATGCTCACCTTATATTTATGATAACCATCAGAAGCCACATCTCCTGTGCTACCATCCTTCATATTTCCTGTAAATATTAGTAAGCATGAAATCATTATTGTTAATATTTAATTATGTTGTTAAAATAATACTAGTATATACATGACACATGAGCACATGTAAGCTATAGCTGGCGGAATTTTACACCGATAATTTCGGTGTATTTATCGTCGGAGTAAGCTAATGGAAATCGACGTAATGGACACCTGCTTTTCCGCCGGTAATGCGCCGGAACGTGTTCCGGCAGATTATTTACGCCGGAAGAATTTTTCCGATGCGTGCCAAACCGGCACATGAAATTCCGTCGGAAATCCGACGGAAACGTTCTCTTTCCGTTGCAATTTCTATCTTATCGGGGGATTCTGTCCGCCGGTAATGACTGGTTTTCCTGTGCTAGGATGTTTAGAATATTTTTGTATTGTTAAAATAAGCAACTTTATTATAAAAATTAATTTAGAAGTAAAAGCTTAAAAATTGAAAAATATACATATATAATCTAACTCTTAACATGACACAACGAAGAAAAAAGACTCATGTAGCAGACCCCATGTAGTGGCCATATAAGGTTTGATATTGTTGTTGTTTTTTTTTTTTTTGACCAAATAGATATTAAAAAAATGGAATAAATGCATATATAGTACTTATATACCTTCATGTGCATACGTATCCCAAATACTTGGAGTCCTTCCTTCCTCGGCTGCAGCACCCTCATACTACAATTGAATATTAATATTTAAAATATAATCAAAGTTAAATTTATATAAAAACTAAGTAGGCAATTATTATTAAATCATGCAATCTCATTTCGAAATGTACTTAATATATTAGTATACATTTGTGCAAATAAAAAAAATTTGGGTCTTTACTTGCAAGATTAAAATCACTACAAAAAAATCGTTCAATAGCAATGGAAATGGCCGATTACCGACGACAGTTTTTAAAATTTCTGGCTGTTAAAACCCTGCCGGAAAAAAACCGTATAAAAATTCAAACTGAAGGTCTTTTTTTCGGCGGTGATATTTTCCAGCAGCTTGTGCCACCGGAATTAGTCACTTAAAACTGACGATAAGACTGCTAGTAACTGCATCGTAGATAGAACATTCCGACGACGTTTCTTGTGGTCATTATCGTAGATAATGATGCTTCACATTTTGCTAAGGTGTAGTTCTATATAAGTTATACCTTTTATCATCATTTTTTATAAAGATATTGGGCATTTCTTATTTTTAGAATTCATTTTGGAAATTTTTTTTTTTCCAAAGTTAAACTTCCTTTAAGCTTTTTATGTACTGTTAGACCATATAACATATACCGCAGGCATCACCTAATTAAATGAGTCCGACTAGCTCAGCACATCACTTTCCCACTTCCTCTGCTATGCCGTCTGTGGCTAACGGATACTCTTACACACACATGATTACACTTTTACAATATATACACCTGCTATGTAACACTTTACCTTTGAGATATTAAGACAAGCTTTCTCCCATGTATTCTCTTCTTCTCCGCTTCTCTTGCAGGTCGAAGGTGAAGATCGATTGCCAGTGAAGATCTTTCTTGGTATCAGAGCATTAGGGCTTATCTCCGTCTCATCCTTCCTCTTCTTCTTCAGCAATGGGGGATCAAGGCTCATCTACAGCAGCTCAGTCGGGTTCGACCCCTCCAATGACGACACCGATTTCTGGAACTGGAGATCTCAGCATTCCAGCGCCTCTTAAATTCTTAATGACGAATCTTAAGCTCATTATCTCAAATCAGCTCACTAGTGACAACTACCCCATCTGGAGGTTGCAAATTTTTCAACTATTCTCTGCAAATGGCTTTGAAGGCCATCTTACGGGCAGTACGCTGAAACCGTCCGGTGAAAACAACTCTCAAGAGCTTCGACAGTGGAATCTCATAGATCAAAACTTGGTCTCTGCTCTACTCTCTACAATCTCACCGTCAATCCTGCCCTACATTCTCACCTTGAAGTCAGCCAGCGACATTTGGAGCACACTTGAACTTCGCCTCCAACCGACCAACAGGTCCAGAGTAATACAGCTGAAGAATGAGCTGTATCACATACAAATGAAAGACCTCACAATGATGCAGTATTTAGCCAAGATAAAGGCATTGGTGGACAACATTGCGGCTGCCGGATCTCTTCTTGATCCCGAAGAGATTATACTGCACATACTGAACGGCTTGCCCCCTTCATACAACTCATTCAAGACTTCTATTCGAACCAGCCAGCTTCCCATAAGTCTAGATGTGATGTACACTCTTCTCTGTAGTGAGGAGATTCACATCAGTTCGGATATTCAACGTGACACCTCTCAGACCACAGACGCTACAGCATTCTATGCTAATCGAGCAAACTCACCGAGAGGACGCACTGGCTACAGAGGTGGTAGAAGCCGAGGAGCTCCATTCAAGCCAAATTCGAACATTCCTCGAACCACCTACAATGATACAAGCAAACCGGTTTGTCAGATCTGCAATAAAACGGGACATAACGCCTCTGTGTGCTGGCACTGTTTCAATGCCTCTTATACGACCCTAGCTAACACCACTCCACGTGCTCTTGTTGCAAATCAGCAACCTCCGCCAATTAACGACTGGGTCCTCGACTCAGAAGCATCATCACACTTGACGCCTGACGCATCCCATATTCAGCACCTGATGCCTTACACCGGCTCAGAATCAGTTTCTACAGCCAATGGCAGCTCTCTTCCCATTCATAACACCGGCCAAGGACTTCTACCTCTTCCGGATTCTAATCGTAAGCTTTACCTACGCAACTTACTCCACGTACCGCTTCTATCACACAATCTTCTTTCTATTCACAAACTCACGACTGACAATAATTGCTCCATCTTGTTTGACTCCAATGGCTTTCTCATTAAGGATCTTCAGGACAATCGAACACTCATCCATGGTCGATGTCGTAATGGCCTCTACTCTGTCACTCAACCGCAAGCTCTCCACACAACCACCTCCTCCGGCACACCTTGGCATTCTTGGCTAGGACACCCCAACATCAGAACCCAACAGCTACTATCTAAGAAGTTTCCGTCTATATGTACTACTTTACCTTCTTTTGTTTGCAAATCATGTAATGTGGCCAAAAGCCACAAGTTATCCTTTTCTACTTCTCCAAACCGTGTATCCAAACCTTTTATGCTAATATATACAGATGTTTGGGGTCCCGCTCCTGTCCCGTCTCTTAATGGTTTTCGCTACTATGTCTTATTTATTGATGATTACTCTCGCTTTTCATGGCTCTACTTAATGCACACCAAGGATGAAACTCTCTCAAAATTCCAGCACTTACATAGACTTATTCAAAATGCCTTCAACTCTAATATAAAAACTCTACGCTCGGACGGTGGTGGTGAATACACCGGCCAACTCTTTAACAATTATCTCTCTAATCATGGCATTACCCATCAATTTAGCTGCCCTTATACACCTGAACAAAATGGTGTCGCCGAGCGGAAACATCGTCATCTTCTTGATACCACCCGTGCTCTTCTTCATGAAGCACACCTCCCACACAACTTCTGGGCCGATGCTCTATTAACTTCTCACTATCTATATAATCGACTTCCTACCAAAGTGTGTGACAATTACTCTCCCTACTATCTTCTTCACAATCGGCAGCCCACTTATACTCATTTAAAAACCTTCGGTTGTCTTTGCTTCCCGTGGCTCAAACCACAAACCTCTACCAAACTCCAACCCCGTTCTAACGAGTGTATATTCATCGGTTACTCTACCGTGCACAAAGGATATCGATGTTTCAATCCCACCACCAAACAAGTTCACATCTCTCGGCATGTCATCTTTCATGAATCCATTTTTCCCTACAAAGCCGAGTCTTCTCACTCCTCTGCAACACAATCCAAACCTACCTCCACAACTCCATACCTTCTACTACCTACATCCACTATACCTTCATCACCCCTCATCTCTAACTCACCCAGCGTTCCTACTCTATCCCGAGAACCAACTCCACCTATCTCAAACACCTCTCTGTCACAGTCCACTTCGGCCTCTTCAACTGATCCAGATCCAAATATCAGTCAAATTCAATCTATTCCGCCTCCTACTCATCCTATGCAGACTCGTCTCAAGTCTGGCATTCATCGACCCAAACCAATCTTTAACCTCTTAACCTCTCTAAAAGCCGATTCCACCCCTACATCCTATACTCAAGCCCTTCAAATACCTCACTGGAGAGCTGCCATGTCTGAAGAATTCCTTGCTCTTCAATCCAAGGGCACCTGGTCACTGACTTCACCTCCTCCTCATGGTAAGGTGCTGGGCTGTCGGTGGACTTTTAAAACAAAGTATAATGCTCACGGTCAGGTAGAGAGATATAAAGCTCGACTGGTTGCTCAAGGATTCAAACAAGAACTTGGCGTCAACTACAATGAGACCTTCAGCCCAGTTGCCAAAATGCCCACAATACGAGTCATGCTCCTTCTTGCTCATCACCGCGGCTGGCAAACTCTACAATTTGACATATCCAATGCCTTCCTTCATGGAGATCTTCATGATGATATTTACATGCTTCAACCACCTGGTTTTGTGGATCGTGAGCATCCTACAATGGTTTGCAAACTTCACAAGGCTATCTATGGCCTCAAGCAAGCTCCTCGAGAATGGTACAACAAGTTCACCGCGGTTCTTTCATCTTTTGGTTTCGGCTTCAGTAAGGCCGATCCATCTCTGCTGGTATATCGCAAAGGCCAAGTTCAAATATACCTTCTCATCTATGTCGATGATCTACTCATTACAGGGAGTCACTCTGACACCATTCAGCAACTTCTACAATTGCTCAAACAGCACTTCCCTCTTAAACAATTGGGTCTGGTCTCCAATTTTCTCGGTATCCAGGTCACTACAAATGCTGCTGGAACATTTCTTCATCAATCCCAATATGCAGCTGAACTCGTTCATGCGGCAAATCTCCAACACAGCAAGCCCATTCAAACCCCCATCAGTTTGAAGCCGTCTACAAGTTATGATTCTTGTCTACCCTTCTCCGATCCTCATCACTACAGGCAACTCGCTGGGTCTCTAAACTATCTGACTATTACACGACCCGACATTGCATATGCTGCACACAAAGTCTGTCAACATATGCACAGCCCTACTACAGCAGATTATCTGGCCTTAAAGCGTCTTTTACGCTACATCAACGACACACTTCAGTTTGGTTTGCCACTCTCATCCGCTAATCTTCAACTCCACTCTTACTCTGACGCTGATTGGGCTGGCGAATCCTCAGACCGGAAATCTACTACAGGCTTTTGCACATTTTTGGGAATGACTCCAATTTCCTAGTCTGTTAAGAAACAAATCACTGTCGCCAAGTCATCTACCGAAGCGGAATACATATCACTATCTTCGGCCACCTCGGATATCATTTGGATACGACGGCTGCTCACTGATTTTCAGTTCGCTCCTTCCATGCCAACCCCGCTCTACTGTGATAACACATCAGCAATGGCCATTGCTCACAATCCGGTCTTCCATGCCCGGACCAAACATATTGAGATTGATTACCAATTTATCAGGCAGCACATCAACAATGCAGAAATTACTCTCCATCACATTCACTCTGAGGATCAACCTGCTGATCTACTGACCAAACCACTGTCCTGCTCCCGATTTCAGGAGCTGCGTTCCAAATTAGGCATTCGATCAATCCATGCCTAATTTGAGGGGGGATGTTAGACCATATAACATATACCGCAGGCATCACCTAATTAAATGAGTCCGACTAGCTCAGCACATCACTTTCCCACTTCCTCTGCTATGCCGCCTATGGCTAACGGATACTCTTACACACACATGATTACACTTTTACAATATATACACCTGCTATGTAACACTTTACCTTTGAGATATTAAGACAAGCTTTCTCCCATGTATTCTCTTCTTCTCCGCTTCTCTTGCAGGTCGAAGGTGAAGATCGATTGCCAGTGAAGATCTTTCATGTACGAGCTTATCAATATATGAGGTAGTCAATGACACTCTAAGATGTTTGCTTAAATTTATAAGAATATGTTTGGAGAATTGGGATCTGCATTTTTCTACTTTTGAGTTTGCTTAAATTCATTATAAGAATAAGTTCGAAAAATTATAATGTTTATTTACTTATAATAGCATAATCAAATATATCAATGTTTGAAATTGCATATAATTATAATCCCAAATGACTTATTTATCTAGATGATATATCTTCTCATGCATTTATTTATTTATTTTGTATTTATATTTACAAAATAAATTATGATCATTAGATTTAACTAAAGCAACAGATAAAGATGAGAATTGATAAATATGCTGATCTTGCAAATGATACTCATTTTGCAATAATATTATGATGATGCTTATGTTTTAGTACACATTCATGTTGAACTTTATGCTGCCACCAAATGCTAAGGGCATCTCCAACCGAACTGCACCCCCCCCGACATGCATGTGGTTCCGCCCATGACCATGATCATCAATATAGCTTTCAATATTGAAAATAATTTATCATGTAGAAAAATTATATAATCTTGAGACTTGTTGACAATTTTTTTTTTCTTTTTTAACAACAATTCAAGCCAAGGAATCAAGCATCATCCACAAAATAAGATATCTTCCAAAATAAAAATAAAAAGATTAATTAACTGTAACAAACTTAGCTGCACCCAAACAAATTTAGGTTTTTTTGGGACAACTTTTTGTTGCTTTTTAAAACAGCTTTCGATCTAGTACAAAAAATTTTTGAATTATAAAATTTTATACTATAAAGCTGTTTTAGAAAGTAGCACGAAAGCTGTCCCAAATGAAGTTTAGTCATCATCCACTTCTCTTTTTTTTATTTCAAATTTTAGTTAGCATCTTCTTAACTTGATTTAGGCTTCGTTTGAGATGGCTTTCTTTCTGCTTCTTAAAACAGCTTCCTAATACAAAAAATAATAATTTTTTATTAAGAAAATGCTTTAAAAAGCAATAAAAAAGCCGTTTGGACCTTAAACAACCCTAAACTTATAAATAGACCATTTATCCAGGAATGACATTATTCTTGTCTTGGAAAATAGTTGGAGATCTTCTCCTCTCAGTTTTACCCTTGTTAGCTCCACAAGTCCTTTCGGTTATAACTTAATTTTATCACTTGCTCTATTCTTCTTAACGTTAAAGTCTACAGCTGACAGCTGTCCTCCTCCTAAATCAAAATCTACAGTGACCTTGGCTTCACCTCCACGTACAAACAAGCTTATCCCACTACAATAAAGTTCTACTTGAACTTAAGCTTGTCATTGATTTCTACCTTCGCTTGGTTTGTGTAGTTTTTTCAAGCTTAATTTCTTCGCATATTTGTCCAAACTTTAAGCATAATATTCAGCAGCTTTGCAAAAATCAACACAATAAAGAATGAAGCAACACAAGATGAAAAAAAATATTTTGATAACAAATCCTAAAGTAGTAAAGTTGGTAAATAAACCAAGTAAACTGATCAACATAAGAACTGCTCTAAGAAAAAAAAATCTAATGAATACATACATAAATATAGAAACCTGCAGAGATAATGTTATGAATTGATTTAGTTTCAGATTATTTTGTTCCTTCATGTTATAACATCACTGTAAATTTCCTATAAATAGAATGTATAGGTTGAAGTAAGGTTTTGAAAAAATTGAAATAAAACTTTAGGAAGATTTTCCCCCTAAAATCTGCCATCCCTCCTCTCTCTCTCCCTCACTCTTGTAAGAAGGCCCAAGAATTGAAGCTCTCAAGATTCCTCCTAAATTTCTTAACGCATAAGATCCATGTTAAGGAAACATATGAAGGAAAATTAAGCACAAAGATAACATAGAAAAATCTGAACTCATGTTAGCATTATAACAGTTTTTTTTTTTCTTTTTTTAATTAAAGAATCAATAGAAAACAAAGCACTTTGTTGAAGAACAATAAAAAGAAATTAAAAGAAAAAGAATCAATGGTTAAGAATGTGTATATTCTGGTAATGAACAAAAGAAAAAGAACAAATGCCTGATATGCAGAGGTGCCAGCCCCAAATATAAACTCTGACGGGAAGTCATCTCTACTGTACTGTGAGATGGCCTTCAGACCAACAAGCAAAGCAAACTCACAAAACACTAAAAGCATCAAGCGTAAGACAATGGGAGTCCCCATCACCTCCATTTTTTCCTTCAAATATGCTCTTCTGTGTAACCATTCACGCCTATTTATACTAAAAATTTGAAGAACACTACTCTTGTAAGCATCAATGGTGCAGGTTTCGTTTGGGACGATTATTTTATTGCTTTTTAAAATAGCTTTTTAGTTTAAAAATTAAAATTTTTATGCTAAAAAAGTTGTTTTAAAAAGTAGTAAGAAAGTCATCCCAAATGAGGCGTGTTATTCTGTGGGGACATCTGACACAACTTACCATCCAAAGACGAATCAGGTGCAACCACGTCATCTAGTACCGAGCAGTACCAAGCCACGGTATCAAGTAGGAGATGAAGTTGTGCATTTTCATTAAGCTCTGAATGGCATTTGGTATCCGCACAGAATAATTTGCCCCCAAATAAAGCCTTAATAGCACTAATTCCAAGCCAACTGTTTTTCACTTTTTACACCGCTAGCTCTTAAAGAAATTCAAATGCTACAATAGCATTTAATTAAATGAATCAGAACAGTGCTGTACGGGTTTTTTTACTAAGAGAGGTGAACCATTATAGAGGCATTGAGCTGTATAATTGATGTGATTGTGATGTCCCTTCTTGGGATTTATTAGTTTCATTAATTTATTGATAGCCTTTATTAATATACTGTAGTTTTTGTTAATGTAATCATTTTTTTACTTAAATAGCACAGCCAAACTCATTTATTAGTAGTTCAAATTATTCATATCCTAATTTTCATTATAAAATTTTTGAAATTTCACAAAATTTGTCCAAATTCATTGCTGTTTTTAATCTATTTATTATCAAATCAAATTTGTAGTTTGTATAGTCAATTTTACGGGTAAAGTTCGATTAATGCGTATGAACAAATTTAGGTTTGGTTTGAATAGCTTTTTTGCTGCTTCTTCAACTAGTTTTTCAGTATAAAATTTTTTTAAATAAAAAATGTTTATATTAAAAAACTGATTTATAAATCAATTAAAAAATTGTCTCAAGTAAAACCTTAAATTCAGCAATAAATATGAAGCCATGAAATGAAAAGCTTTCTTACCACATTGTCCATCACATGAAGCCTTTTCCAAACCCATGAAACATTGGAACCATCTGGATTCCAGTTATTTTTTAAGTAAAATAACATTGAAAAATCTTAAATTTATTATAAAAATATATAATTTGTATTTTATTTATTTTAATAGATTTAATGACTCTGAATCTCATCCAAATTAATTTGATTTTAATGTTTTAATCATGACTTAATTTTTTGTGTTAATTTTAATTTTGATATATCACAAAAAAATCATATTGATGGGACACGAATCTCGATGTAAATCTAAATTGAAAACTTTTAGTATTAAATTCGGGATCATTCAAGCTTATAGTCAAATTGAACATCTCAAGAAGATGAACTCAAGACACTAAATTTAGTCAAATTCGAGCCCAAATGAGCCCAAATCAAAGGACCAAAATATTTTTTGGAGGCTTCACAACATTAATTGAATGACCAAATTATATTCAAATATGACATGTTTATATTCGAATCGAGTGGTTTGACGAGAAGGATCTCCAACGAGCCTAAGATCACTCAATTTTAATATCAATAAGGAAATTAAATGCTCAACAAATATTTTTATGATTAAATGAATCAATATGGTCATTTATATTTACTAGCCATATCACTCCTTAAAAAATTAGAAGAAAAATTTGGGAGCTCTGTTACCACAAACCACCACTGGATCCCTTCCCAACCGTCGATCATCACTGGACTTCTGCCCGTTTGTTGGAAGCCTCCATATTTCTTCTCGACCTCCGATCGTCGCCAGACTTCTATCTGTTCGTTGGTCACTATCGGTTCTCTTCCTCACGATCAACCATCGTTGCATTATTGCTCGTTTGTTAGCCGCTATCAGAACTCTTCGCGACCATCGACTATCGTCGGAATTCTGCTCGTTCATTGGTCGTTGTCGGATCTCTTCCCGACCACCGACCTTTATCAGACTTTCGCTCATTCCCAGCCGCTGCCGGATCACTTCCCGATCGTCGATCGTCGTCAGACTTTCGCCTGTTTATTGGGCATCGTCGGATCTCCTCTCGACTTTTGATCGTCGCCAGACTTCCGCTTGTTCTTTGACCATCGTCGGACTATATGATTCATATTGTACAATCCAATCTAACAGAACTCATAAACATGTGTTTAATTAATTGGATAGCATAAACCATTTTGTATTGTATGATTTTTATTTATTTATTTATTTATTTATTTACCATTTTGTATTGTATGATCAATACAACATAATTACAAATTAGGGTTTAATTTAAATATCCCAATTTATTTCTTTTGATGATGAATGTATGGAGCAAGTGAGTAGGCAGAGATGCTTTTTTCCTGAGAGAGAGCCCTTTGGAGAGGGAGAAGTGTTTCCTTGCTTGTGAGAGTTGTCCAATACACTTGGGAGAGAGAAGATGTCGAGGGATTGCTTCTTAAGGGAGTCAAGGGTTATGTGAGGGAGTCAAACGGTTGTCCTCGTCGACTCATATCTTGGGTCCTCTAGGTTAAGATTTTGGAGCTCAGAAACTCATCCACAAATTTTTTTTCATTCATCATCAAAATATATTTATAGTTACAGCAATATCTATTCCACAACATATGACTATAGATTATAACTCAGAAAATAAAGAAATAGTCATGACTATATAAAAATAAAAAATATCACCATAGAATTGGAAAGATTAGAACATGAGATCACCGCTACTAAATCGTCTCTTTTCTTTCTCCTAGACATGAAACCGATCGAAGAATATATTTGAGCAAATACACCTCAGTAGAGACACCCACCGATCTAAATTTTACATAATAATTCATTGTGCAATTTAATGAATTTCAAAAGAAATTATTAAAAATTTATTGTGCTGAGAAGAATAATGCTTGTAAGTATTAAATTTATGTAACAATATAGAAAATTTAAATAAATAAGTATTCCATAAATCAGATCATAAAAAATAGATTTTTCTCAAGCTCTTATACCTCTCATGAGAAACAAATGTCAAAATTCAAACCATTATGACTCATTGTACTAGCATATTAAAAAAAATATGCTCTTATGACTGATAATGCATAGCATATATTAGATATTTAAAAATTCAGACCAATATGACTCCCTAGGCATCCCGCAAAACAAAACTCCCTCCCACATCGAGCTCCACAGAATCACATATTTCAAGTATATATATATAAGAGTATATATATATATAATATATTATATATATATAATATATATATATATATATAATATATATATCTATATATATCATTACATTGTAATAAAAAACATTAAATAAATAATTTTGAAATTTTATAAAATACTTAACTGGCAGGCAACAGATTCATCTACTGAACAAAATTTTACAGTTTCAGAATTTCACCAGATTATCAGGGATTGTTCAAACATTATTTTGTTGTGGCCTGGAGTATTCGTGCGGTAGAGGAAATATAAAGTTTAGCATCAATGCATTGTACGAAGATTTAGCACACAAGCAGATAAGAGAGAGGGTGTAGTGTTCAAAAAGAGACACCATATTTTTACGTGGAAACCCCTTAAAAGAGAGAAAAACCACAGCGTCAGGCCTACTTTGAATGAATCCACTAATATTTACAGTCGATTATAAATGAGGCCTTTCTTAAGGAGAAGGCCTTGGATTGATGTCATAAATGTACATCATATAGAGCGCATTATATGGTGGGATTTACAATAATCAACATAGACATACTTGTTTGGTCGACAAGATCATAGTTGATAGGATAGAGGTCAGAAAAACCGTAGTAGATAGGAGATCGGGGTCAGAAAGACCATTGTCCGCCGATATAAGTCAGAATTAAAGGATCATAGTATGCAGGAGACTGAGTTCAGAAAGACCATTATCTGGTGATGTAAGTCGGAAGGACCGTAATAAGTGACGGAGGTCGGAAGGACCATAGTTAGTAGGAGACAGGGGTCCAAAAAATTATAGTTAGCCGGAGTTCGTGGTCAGAAAGACCGTTGTAGTAAGATGATACTCTGGTAAAACTATGGGCATCATGTGGTGGCCCAATAGAAGTTTGGGCCTCATGTGGTGGTCCGACAGAAGTCCGAGCCTCAAGTGGTGGTGCGATAGAAGTTCGGGCCTCAGGTTATGGTCTGGTAGAAGTCTGGGCCTCAAGTGGTAGTCCGGTGGAGCTCAGGGCCTTAGGTGGTGGTCAGACAGAAGTCTGAGCCGTATATAGTGATTCAATAGAAGTATAGGCCTCAGATGGTGGTCTGGTAGATGTTTGGGCCTTAGGTGGTGGTCCGATAGAAATCCTGGCCTCAGGTGGTGGTTTGATAGAATATCGGACCTCAAGTGGTGATCCGGCGGAGCTTAGGGCCTCAAGTGGTGGTCCGACAGAAGTCTGGGCCTCAGATGGTGATCTGGCATAAGTCTGTGCCTCAAGTGGTGGTCTGGCTGAAGTTCAGGCCTCAAGTGGTGGTCTGGCAGAAGTATGGGCCTCAAGTGGTGGTGCAGTAGAAGTTCGGGCCTCATATGGTGGTCCGCCAGAAGTCCGGGCTTTAAATAGTGGTTTGTTAGAAGTTTGGACCTCATGTGGTGTTCCGGCGGAGCTCAGGGCCACATGTTGGTCCAACAGAGGTGAGGGCCTCAAGTGGTGGTCCAGCGGAACGTCATCAGACGGTGGTCTGGCGGAACTCAAGCGGTGGTCGAGGAGGAGGAAGGAGGAAAGAGCGATCTTCGATCTCTCTCTTGAATCCTTTGGCTTGGGGTCCCTTTTTAAGAGAAAAGGATGCTCTATTTATAGATTTTTGAAGTGGCATGGTTCTTAAATAGGTGGGAGATTAAGGGCAAATGAGGAGTGGTTGGATGGATGGCTGATGTTGCATTCCTTGATAATTGATCATTTGATGGACATTTGAATGTCTTAGAGATGTTAGAATTCCATGATCTTGGGCTCGTTTGATTTGCCTAATCGAGCCGCTC